GTCTCACTGGATGTTTGCAGTCTTTATCCAATTTCCTTATCGAGTTATCTCCAACTTACTGGCAGCGTTGTTCCAATGTACAAAACTCAGGAGACGTAACCCGACCTGAGAAGTTGTGCAATAAAGTTGATGTCAGTCAGGCTGAAGCACACTATGAAGTTTATACTTTACATTTAAGGGAAAACAGACTTTATTAGACAGTTGAGTGATGATTAATGTGCCAGGGTCATGTTTGTTCACTGGAGTCTTTAGTGTCAGGATTGTACCTAGTCCTTTGCTATTCATTACTGTAAGGACTTGAGAGGAATAGTAGTGAAACAGTTGGATGATTCATTGCTCTAGGATTAATCCAGCTGTAGAGAAAGAAGTGTCATGCGTAAGGCTCCATATAAATCTCTGATGACAGGCCTTTCCAAGTGCTTCAGCCTAAGTCCATGTTAAAGGGACATTGTAGTGGGCAGGGGTGTGGTTTAGCGCTGGATAGAACCGGAAATGGGGTGGATATTGAGCTCAACTGTTCCTTGTTCCCTGCTTACCTACTTTCCTTAACCCTTTAGGAACTGCACATTCAGAAACAACTGAACTGACTCAAACAGGAACCAACAAAACTTAGGTTCTACTTCTAGTCCATTATCCACCTGCTTGAGATACCTGGAACCATCATAATAACCACAGTTATTAGTGATTATTTTATTTAATTAATTGAATAAATGATTTACTCATCTTTTTGGTCACTCTAAAGAGTCTGCTTTGGCTAATTAGCTACGCTGTTTAAAGTTAGCTTAACACTAGTTGTGCTGAAATGAAAGAACTGACACAAGCACAAACCAGCAGAACTTAATGTTTTAGTTCTAGTCCATTTTCACGTGCTTGAGATATCTGGAACCATCATAATAGGTATAATGTATGATTTAAATGTCTTTTTTGGTTAATTTATGCCACTAATCTGGCTATTTTGCTGCATTGCTTAATAACTAGCTTAGCACTAGTGCACTGACATGAAATGATAGCCTATAATACGCCTTCTGGGCTCACACATTCACACAAATGAGAATCATGTCGGCAAAAGAAGCAAAGCTTATGTTATTCTCTGATAAGTGTGGAAATATGAGCAAAAACCACTAGTTCTGTGGAGGCTAGCATAAATGCTAGCTGTTAGCTTCCTAACTAGCTTATGTCCCTTAGCAAACTCTTTACAAAGTGAGCGTTCTAAAAAGACAGCAGACACGTAAACATACCATTCTGGTTTACATTTCAGTGCACTTATTGGTCATATAATAGTGCTTTGTATTCCCTAGGTGACTTTATATTCCGTAGAAGAGTAAAGAATCCGCTAAATTGTTGCTGACTTCAGCTGCAAGTGTTAGAAGAGGAGGACAGATGAGAACACCATCAGTCCTGTTGACACTGATGTCTTGAAACTGGAGCCTTCAGTATTGGACCAATGGAAAAACGCATAGTTCTAGTTTTTTGATGGCAAAGGTTTTAGATTATTAATAACTAAAGTCTAGAGATTAATGGGTTAACTCTCTCCAGTAGCCTTGTCACAGACCTGTGTTTAGATGGTCTTCCATTCGCTGGATTAATAAGAATGCATCTGCACTGGTCAATGGGGATGTCACACCAATATGCCCCTCTGTACGTGGGCTAATGATGCTTGTAGTGAACCTCCTCCACCAATATGGCTCAGCCTACGGCCTTGACCGGAGCACACCTCAGCATATGGTCATTGGGAGGGAGGGATGACCTTATAATTTGCAATGAAATGCTACAAGGTGTTGAGGATTGGAACTGCATTAGTTTGGTACCGTGTGGGCAATAAATAGCCACTGAAATACCTGTTGAAATAACTTTCATTCAGTTTTTCATTAAAGTGCTTTTAGAGTCTTTCTTCCTCTGGTGATGCTGAAGCTGAACCGAGCAGATTGTGTTCTTTAAAGGTCTGTATTAGGGAGATGCGCTTTCCAGCTCTGTCACTTCCTTTGGCAGTAGAATTGTCCCCTCTTTGAGCTCTTTCGCACTTTCACACAGCTTTAGGTCGGTTCAACTTTGGCTGTCATAAGTATACAATGGCTTGTGTAGAGATGTGAGTTTTTAACCTGCAGGGCTTCTCTGACGTTGATAAATCTGTCATCTCTAATTCTGCAGCTCTAGTAAACAAAGGCTGGGTGTCTGTGGCAAAGGAAACAAAGCAAAAAAGCCAAGAAAAACACGGAACAGATTTAACACTGTTATACTAAGAAGGTAATGGTGCTATTTCCTCTTGCTTTGCCAGTTGAGCTGCTTCTAGATGTTGTTCAGTACTGACAACCCAATAACATACTTCACACGTTGATGGCAATACAACTTTGTTTTTGTTCATTCTGTAATTGAGCTCTCTGTTTTCTGGCAGTCTCTGTATCATAATAAAGCAGCTCATTCAAGTTGACCCTCATTAATAGCCCACATGTTAATAGAATTTCAAGTTTCTGATTAGTAGAGTCCACTGTTTCTTGAACACCTCAAGTATCTGTCAGTACAGATTGAATAGTTTTTCACATAAGATGAGCATCTAAAAGTAGGCTATCAGGCTAAACTATTCAAGCACTAAACATGTCTTGGGAAGTGTAATCATCATAAATATAGGTGATATATCTAATATTTCTCTTATTTGGATTGTTTTAAGAATACTACAAGATTATTTAACTTACTTCCAGACATTTTTTCTTGTTTTAAGTTATTCTATCCCATAAAATTGTGGTAACACTACTGCAGGGCAGTGTTCATAAGGCTCCAGAACACGTACATAGGACACCTACACATAAGCTCACGAAAGTTAACTTAAACCTTTATAAACATTTATAAAAGTTTATTCCAATAGGTGTTTCCTGTACTTTTGTCAACTTTGATGTGAAGTTGACATAATACCTAACACACAGGTGACATCTATTTTTTTTCTGACATTGGGTTGTCGTTAATTCTTTTTTTTGGGTGAAATGACATAGTAAGTTAAAAAAAAACTGACTGTAGCTTAGTGTATGTCACAGTGACATAATACTGATGATGTAACAAGGCCTAAAATAGCAAAATAAAACACACTTTACCACAGAAAATGCTCACTTTTGTTAAAACAGCCTGATGATCAGCTTTGTCACAGTGACATACACTGAGCTTCAAAGTCTGTGGTTATTTTCAGACTGCAGGCAAATCAGATTTGTTTCTTAAATCAGATTTTTTGAGACGACTGTCCACACTGTTATTTGCAAGTGATCAGATTGGATTCTCAGGCATAAGCATGAATCTTTGGCACTCTCCTTGAATTGAAGTGCTTAACAGCAATATGAACATTTCTGGGCAAAACAAACTGCAGATGGAAAAGTCAAACCAAACACTTGGTAACTTGTTGCCATGTAACAGCCAGATTTGAATATTCCGTCCCACACAGCAATTGGGTTTCAGTCTAATTAACTGGAGCCACATTTGACTACCAAGTGTAAATGCATGTGCCTAAAATCTTATCAGTCCAGACACTAGTCACACAAAGTGACCAGGTGTAAATAGTGTGTATGTCATTTCACCCCAGAAAGTGTTGTGATGTGATCTAATGACATAAAAAATGTCCATTTAAAATCAAAGCTGGCAACGCAACCATTATTTATTTATGTAAAGTGCTTATATTTTACAGATGTCTTCGGAAAGTACAGATGCTTTATGGATGTGCTCCAAGTGTGGCCATGACAGCCTGATGACTTACAGACCACAGTCTATTTGTTAGTAGTTTAGTGTTGGCAGTTCGTAAAAGCAATCACTCCATTAACATTTGACTTTATATTAAATCTCTAACCTCAAATGGGTGGAATTGGATTAGTCTTATGGTTGCACTTAAAAGGCTAGCCTCAGAGGAAGCTGTAATGGAAACTACTTTAGCATTACACTGCTGACGTTATTGAGATGATGACAGGATCGGGTTCCAGCCTGTAACTATATAACCAGTATCCAGTGCTACGCAGTTCGAATTATTTACAATCCATTTCATTTGCCTTGTGGTCAGGCCACTTGAATATGCTCAGTGAACCAACTGGAAGTAAATGAGGATGTATAGCACTGGAGCAATTCTTCACAAGACATTTACTTTAAAAGGATTTTTTTCAATATTTTCTGGAATTTTAGAATGAATAATCCCTTTTTTAGGCAATAAAAGGGATGTGGGTGGTAGTATATGCTGCAACATGATCAACATGATATTTCTTGTTAACTCAGGTGTAAACTTACTAAGAACCACCGATTCTAGGAAACAGGCTTCACCACCTACCGTAGTTCCTGTTGGAAATGCACCCACACATACAAACATGAATAAACAGGCAAAAACACTTGCGTGCAATCTAACCTCAATAGCTAGAAAGTGAAAACGCACAGCTGTTGCCCTTAGGCACTTTCCCTTGAGACCCATATGTCGGTCTTCATTCATGATGGCAGCATGATAAGGGTGTATTATACAGTTTAATAACATTTAGTTAAACATACAGGTAGTAGATACTTTATTCCAGTTCTTTTCAATTTATGCTGGTAAATATAACCTTATGAAATTTAAGCTGAGTCACGATGTGTCAGTCATCTTAGACCAGAGGGGCTGATCTTGGCTCCCTTCCTGTGCTCATTTAAGCATATTCATTAGGATGTGATTAACAGACAACTGTTTCTGGACCAGGACTCTTGGTGTGAGATGTTTGTTCATAAAACTCCAGGTGTGGTTGGTGGTTCACATAAAGAGGGTGTTTGCCCCATTTAGAAACTAACAGATGCTTGTGAAATTAATACCATATGCATGGTCTCACTTATGCCAAACAAAGTGCAGCAAGAACACACATGCTCGGTGCCCAGTGTTGTGTTGCACAACGATTGTTTCCTTTGTATATCCCGTGGGCTCTCGATTTTAGGGGCAGGCCTAAAGGGTGTTAAATAGCCCCTTCCCGTCTTGAGGGCATGACTAACCTAACTTTCGACTTGTGTCCTCGTTGCAGGATTTCTAAGAAGCTCTGAACACATGGAGGCTGATCTGAGTGGACCGTCTGCCCAGGGAGACTCATCAGTTCGTGGAAGGACGAAGTTGTGAAGTTGAGTTAATCTCAGACTCGAGAGTTCCATCATCACGGCACACACTGCTCTAGGAGTGTGAGATACTACCGAGGGATCCAGACGGGACTGAAAAAAGGAGAGAAGAGAGGTTCTTCATGCATTCCATAAGCTTCTGAGAGTTTTCAAAGGTAGTGTGATCTCCGAAGAGCAGCATGCGGAGAGCTAGCATGGCGTGGCCCTCTTTCCTGGCCTGTTCCCTCTTCCTCCTCTTCCTCCTGGCCACATCAGCGCAACGAGCAGAGGATGATGTCACGCCACGGCTAAGCTTTGAATATAGTAAGCATATCACTACACATACACATGCACATATTGAATGACCGCTGCCTGCACTATAGACCACTTCTGAATTTGCATACTGAATTGAATTTGATACAACTGATTTCTTATAAAACTCACTCAGAGTGAGTTTGATAAGAAATGCTAAATTCTAAAGACATTTACGAGTCAGGATTGTTCACAGCAGTGGTCATAGGAACCAAAGCATTTTATGCCTCTAAAAGCTCTCTCACAGAAAACTATTTACATGAAATTGGACACCTGAGACATTGTTAAAAGACCATTTTATTTTTAAATTTATTAATTTATTAATTAATTTATTTTTTTATTTTAGCCTAAAATATATTTTTAAAATCCATTCATGGAAAACAGGTACATGTAAGACGTTATAAAGGAAAATAGTACTTTCAACTATTGTACCATTTATGAACATTACATGTAAAAAAATGGCTATATTTGCATTGTGGACATCGTTCTTGTCATCACAATTGTAAAGAAATCTGAATTGGTTAGTTTCTCTAGAATGAGCCATTTTACATTTTACATTGGACACTCTGAATGACTGTTTGTTTACATCTCAGTAATTGAAGTATGCAGAAATCAATGGAATTGTTAAAATTGCTATAACTTGGGAAAAAGTCTTCTGAAGCCATTTTTGCAGTGACTAGAACCAACTGGTATATTGTTTGACTGATAAAATTGACTCATTGGCCTGGCTGGAAATCCCTGCAATAAACAATAAAGTCTCTTTAAATGTTATCAAAGAGAACAACATTCAGGATTACAGGGCTATAATTTTTTAAAGCAGTAAGGCAAAGCATTTTCGATATGTATGCCATGTTTTTTACATGACTAAGACGCACTAGAGCCAAATTTTTGGCTGATAAAATCAGGATATCAACGTTATGTGCATTTATTGACATCTGCTGGGTCAGTTAACTCAGGAATATAAAGCTGTGATTTTTAAAGCTTAGAGGCAAATGGCTTTCAGTATCTATCGAAACATCTGTCTGTACCCCAAAAAATTAAAGGTCCAAAAAATGTCAGAATACCCATTAAATTAAATCATACTGTGCCTTTAACAGTCACATATTTACTGCCTTAAAAATTAGAGAACAATCGATAGCTCATAATTAAATTACAGTATTTAAAATAATGTCAGATTGTTTGATTTTGTTTTGTTTTGTTTTTTTTTAGCAAAGTAATGCTACTAATCTGCTGGCCATCAGGCAGAACAAGCATTATTTAGAAAATGTGTTGTCATTCGGAAAAACAAGACAAAAATCTAAAATGGTCAGCTCATCACCCCAATCATATGCAATAAACGAGTAAACAAATAAATGAACTAACGCTGACTAAAATAGTAGTACAGGGCCTAAAATGAACTCCTGCCAAGTGCCACATACATGACCTTTGTAAGATACCCTTCTAGTAGGCTGGCTACACCCCAGCTTATCGTAACCCTGGATCTTTTCCTCATTAGAATCAGAGTAAGCTAAACTGTTCCCAAAGTTGTCACAGAGTTTCTACCAACAGTGGCAGCCTATCAGTAGAGATGGATGGGTAGCTATGTTTACTCATTGGCAGCGTTCCCCTTGCTCACCCTCATGCGTAGATCATCCATTTACTGAAAAGCCCGTAAAAGCTCTGGCTCCCAGTTCCTGCGGCTGTTGTTGGGCTATAAATAAAGTCTTGTGTGGTGCTGACCTCTCTCAGCTGGGCTACTGGCAGCGTTGAGAGGGGTGTACTGTATGCTTATCCAGACTTTTTCAAGCTTCCGTCTTCTCTTATAGACAGTGACACTTGCTGAGGTGATGATAAAAAAGGAGAGTCCTTTCCTAGTCCGCCTGTCTGTGAAGCCAAGTAGCTGTCTTCTGCCGTGCATGTGTTGGAGTGTGGAGGTGGAGCGCTATCTTTACATAACTGCCAAGCTCCTGCGATGCTACTGTATTTTCTGTTCCTCTCCTTTTATAACCACAAACAATCTTTCTTAAGAGTTTTGGAAAAGTTCCTGTCTTTGTGGTGGCAGTGGTGAACCACGACTGTTAGATCAAGGTTAATTTCTGCTAATGGCCCTTCAGGATTCTGATATATTAGCACTAAGCTAATGGCTATTCAAATTGCTATTCTAAATTACATACAGACATTTGAAGCTTGTAATATTCTTCATGTTTTATTTGAAGATTTATTTAACATTAACATATATTTTACCCTGTATGTAGCAGTTTTGCATTAACACATTTGGTAAAGAGACATAGCATTGTACTGCCACTGCTGTTTTCCATTTCTAGCAATTGGCTGAAAACTGGGCAGCTACCACTCACATTCAAACTCAGTGACATATCTAGGACTTCCAGGAGGCCTAGTGTGAGGCTTTTTCCTCAAAAAATTAGACCCACCCTTTGGAAATATAAACATGATTGGCCTACCAGTGAGAAACTTCACTTTAACTGTATCTACTTAGATTTCTCAAGAATCTTACAAATGTAACCCTTTTGTTTCCAGCCACAGCTGAACAATAAAATAAGAGTTGTACTATAATACTTGCAGAGTTTAAGTACAACACGCATGATTACAATAAATAAAATTTACTAAAGAATACAGACACATATTTTTATTCTCAGAAATCATTAGGCTTTCTCTAAATGCCTAGAAGGCCTGGGGGGGTTCTTTTTTGGGTGGTGAAATGAAGAGTCGTGTCGAGACTGCCGAAGAATTCCCCAATTGTATACAGTACTTAGGCCCCCGCCCCATTCACGTATTCTGATCCATTTATTCTGAGCCCTGTGTTACACCACTTCCAGGCCATAGTCACAGTAAATCCTGTCTAATTCCTCACTATTGATGGCGGGTTCTTAAGGGTGGGTCTGCTCAGGTCCCGGCTGGTCAGAGTCAATTGTTAACGGAGCTAGCGTATTGTAACCTGACTCATTCAGAACAATGTGAGATGGTGCTTGTAAACACCAGCAGCTATAGCAACTTTTGTGCATGCTATGTTCGCAGTGTGCTAATGGTTTTCATTAAGAAAGCAGCATAAACAACATTTGTGGGTGAGGTTACTCGTGCTCTTTATGGAAAGCATCTGTCTTTGTTGATGAGACTGAATTAGAGCTGTAGGGTTGGTTTTCGGAAGACAGACTAAGCCTAGCCTAGGACTAAAAAAAGGGTATCTGTTGGGCAAATACCAGAGTTAGGTGCAACTTGGCCTAAGAAGCTACGGTTTGTTTTTCATTGGTGAATTTGTGTAATTACATGTGTAATTACAAGTTCATTACACAGACGGAAGGCAAAAGCTTTCAGGAGTGAAATTCCTCTCCCTAAAGAGAGTCCTGTTTCTCTAGAATTACACTAAGGAGTCTTTTTGTTTAGCCAGAGAGCAGCTTTATTCTGTAAGTTCGGAGGTTGATGTCCTTTTAAGTGATTAATGTCCTTTTACAGACAACTGCTGAACTGCATTCCTGTTGTACATCATCAGTTGGACAGGTCAGATGATAAAGCCTAGATTGTGCTGTCAAAATATCAGCATCCACCCCCACCTTTTTTCCACATTTGCTCCCAATCATGGATTAAAATGGGTCACCAAAGGCAGGTTCACACAAGCCTCCTGTCTGTTTGAGGAGCTGTGGAGGTAATCTCTCTCACCTGCCATTTCCACACAAAGAACAGGCCATGCAGTGCTGATGGAGCATTTCACAACCACATGCATCATAAATCTCTTCTCACTTCGTCTGTGCTTCTCTCTTCACTTCTCTTAGCTTCTCTTGTAGTCTTTTCTAGTGTCTACTCTTCTAGAAATGCATACTTTCTTTTTATCCAGGACTAAAACAGGGAGAAGACTTGCCCCTGAATGGATACTTCTGTCCTCCAGAGTTGCGTATTGCAATGTAAAAAACAAATGTTAGAGTCCTTTTCACTGGGCTTTTTCCATTGTCTCAATGTAAGAATGAGCAATCCTGCCCATTCATTGCTCTTTGTCAGTGGGGTGTTTGGGTGTTTGCCCAGATTGTTTGGCTCGTGTAGAATCTAACCTGACCTTTGTGAGGACTTGTATGTGGAAATCCACATCTGTTCATGTACACGTATCGTTTCAAATGCCATTTGCACAAAATGTTACGTAGATAAGCTTACCATAAGAGATGTTGTAGACAATGATGAACTTGCAGACCTTAGTCATGCTTAAGAACAGGCACTACAAGCACGTCAGCCGGTGCGTGGAGGGTAGGGCTTGCTTACAACTGTTGAGGTTTTAAAGGCATCACTATAATGGCTAGTTTCTTTTGCTACATAATAGGCTTTGATAAGTGTTCTGTGGCTGAGCTACTCAAGTTTAGGAAACTTTTCAGGTCACACGGACTCCATTGCTTGGCCTAAAGGGGCAAAAGAAAGACCATAGATCGGGGACAGTGATGTCAAACAGAGTTGTGAAGGGGAGTTTTCCCAGGAGCTGGCAATACTGGAGTCTCTGTTTGTTTATGCGTGTGGTGACTGGTTCTGGAGTGGCCCTGATCCACTCCAGGAGAACAAACACTCAGAAGGGCTTTGACAAGGGCACTGGCAGTGGCTCTGCCGTGCAACGTCACCGCCGTTGACATTTCTCTGCCCTCTGCATGATCCCTGTGTCAAGCTCTGTCTGCTTTACTGCAGTTTCAACACTCACCCAATGCAGTATGCTCATACTCGGACTAGGGATGTAGTGGATGGTAAATGTACGTATGCGCCTTTTTGAATATGAAGTGCATTTTATTCACCTTTTTTATTTGTTTTATTTGGGGGGGGGCATAGCATACACTGCTGTGTATGCTATGGCCATGGTCTTCCTCTAACCCAATGTCTCAAACCTCTTTGGGTACTCTCCCCCTCTCAGCACCCCCTGCGACCCCCGCCAACCCCTTAACGAAGAGACTAATCTGGCGTGAATAATGAATGGGGAGTGTGACGGAGTTAACACTGGTCTGTTTCTCATTATGTGCCTATCACGAGGGATCAGGAATTCAGTGAGG